ATTCCATCGAGTTATTTTTCAACTATAGTTTATCTTCAACTCGTAGATGGAGTGGACAGAACAAAAAGATATGATGCTAGCCCGAGAAATAACTTGCTGTCGCGACCGCAACCTGAAGCCGTTCTAGCCCCAGTTTCTTATCGGTCGTCACGTCGCCGTCGTCAACGAAAACGTCTGTTGCTTAAGGTGCCTATTAACTGAGCGGTAGCGACCCAATTCTACCGGAAGTCACTATTGAGACCCAATCGATTACACTAAAATCGTTTGAATTATCCCATAAATCGGGAGTCCACAATCTTCTTCATTCATTTGAGGTCAGTAATTATCATATACTTGTCATTTGTTCCGCTGATAACCAGAAAAATTGCTAGTCTCACAGGTAAACTGTATTTCAGCCGTTGACATAGCATGTCGAGAGATGGCATGTCGAGAGATGATCGAAAGATGTCGCCTATGCACTTAACACTGAAAGCGGGTGTAAAAATCCTTTCGGTTTCGACGGATGTTACTAAAACTGATAACGGGGAGTGAGGAATAGGGAACTGGGAACAGGAGTCTGGGAACGAGTGTACAGCGGTAAACCGCCTGAGAATTCAAGGGAACAATTTGGGGAAATGTGAGGAAGTGTTACGGTTGTAAACGTGAGTTTCTACCGGCTGTGCCCCCAGATCATGTGCCCAGTACGTTCTTGTTCTTGTTCTACGAGCAAGGAATATTCCACACTAGTGCTAATGTTGGTGAAAGATGACCGCGACAAAGCGACTGCGTGACACTCGGTATGTTTTTAGATGACATGTTGTCACGTATCAGACGAAAAACTAGCCTGCGAACAGGCTCCCGGCGAGGACGGAAAAAAAATTCGGCGAGCGCGAAACAAAAGAATTCGGAGAGCGAAACGATCGGGGCGGGGACCCAGTCTGCAGTCTGCATTTCGTAACTAGTCTGCATTTTGTACCAGGTCTGCAGTCTTGCAGTCTGCAGTCTGCATTTTGTACTGACCGATTGGGGTAGCATGTGAAAATACCGATTCGATTTTCTCCCCTGACGCTATTTCATGCTTTGTTTATCCCAGTACCATATTGGACTCTGGGGCATTGCCGGAAGAAACTCACGTTCACAACCGTAACACTTCCAAACATTTCCCTAAATGGTTCCCTTTTCTTTTTCTTTGTCCGCCATGTTGAATTCTTAGGCGGGTTCCCGCTGCACACTCGTTCCCAGACTGCCGTTCCTGGTTCCTGGTTCCTGGTTCCTGGTTCCTGGTTCCTGGTTCCTGGTTCCTGGTTCCTGGTTCCTGGTTCCTGGTTCCTGGTTCCTGGTTCCTGGTTCCTGGTTCCCGGTTCCGCGCTTCCCGTTACCAATTTTAATAACATCCTTTTTGTGTGGGATTTCACACACTTTGCCAACGCCAGCGAAATTTATTTATTTATTTATTTATTTATTTGTCCACGAGAATAAGGCGTTTGTCACGTGGTTTTTATTTGGCGTGTAGACTGGGTTCCACCACAGGCGACCCAAGCTCTCAATGTTATCCTTTTTTTTTTTTTTTCACTTTTATGCGAACGTTCAGCCTTACGTGACATATGGCATATACTATTACATAACGACCGAATTTGATTAATCGAAACGTGACTCTGGCCTTGCAGCATATGGAGGTGTTGTATTACAACGGTTTGAATTTATAAAGGTTTGTATGAGAATGCAACGGCTTTGCTTGAAAAGACAATTATTGTTATATTTTGTGAATAAAATCTACTTACCCTGTTACTGTGTTGTATTCTTTGCTCCTAAAGCCGATCTAACGCGATTTCGGCGAGTTATCGTTCTGTGGGTTTCCACTACTAAGAGAAAGACCTTGTCACGTTTCACGTAGTCATATTCGGTCATATTCGGTCGTTATGTAATAGTATATGCCATATGTCACGTTAGGCTGAACGTTCGCATAAAAGTGAAAAAAACAAAAAAAACAAAACAAAACAAAAAAAAAACATTGATAGCTTGGGTAGCCTGTGGTTCCACTAACAAAAGGTTGAGTGTTTTTGTGCGGCGGCCATTAGGGTGATTACTCTTAGCGGGTGTTGTATTTGGCGAATTTTGACTTGTTTTTGAGATTCGGAGGGAGTCTTAGGCCTTAAGTCTTAGTGTTTTTAGACACTCGCTGCCGTATTTATTTTTGACGCGCGATTTGTTATAAGGTGGGTAAACATTCGCTTTCTGTATATGCGCGAAATTCTTGGATGAATAAGGAACAATCAATCATATCAATCAATCATACAGCAATCATACAAAGTTCCAGTTCTCGGACAGAACTTTCTGCAACTACATATTTAAATTATGTCACATTGAAATTCCTTCGATCAGCTGAAAATCCCGTCAATTTCTGCAGAATATGAATTTTAGTAAACATTGTTCATTTCGCGCCGCAGTCTGCAACTGTCGGAAGAAAATTTACACTTGATTGATTTCATTACTTTCAACTCCCGTCTATTGCTAAAATCAGCATATTTACATCAACAACCGCAGTTTTACGGACAGATATAACATAATGACAAAGCCCAGTATTTTCCTGTGTATTTATGGTTAACAAGTTGAGGTCCTCTCGACTGATAAACCATGATTTCTTGATACGTTGCGTGACGGTGCTGTTTCCGTAGACTCACAAGTTTAAAAGGACTAAACATTTGCATTTGCCTTCAAACTTCACGCTAAACATTTTCACATTTACTGGCCATGTTTAAGCACAAAAGCTAATTTCTAAAAGTATAATTTACATATAGTTTTCTCAGCTGGAAGCACGAATATTAGCTGACATTTGCAACCGGAGCTGACTTACGGGACGTACGTTTTTTATTTGGAAGGGGGAGGGGGGGTGGGCCGGAGCTTCGGAGGGGAGGGTCATTAGTACATTTTTTTTCAAATTGGGGAGGGTCAAACCTGTTTTATTCGCAACCGGGGGAAGATCACAGTTTTTTTGGCAAGGAAAAAATTACTCCATGTATCTTAGTTGACTCTTATTTGTTAACAAACACGCGAAGTGTATAGAACCTAAAACTTGTATATACAAGCAATGCTACCAGTCAAGATTAATCTAAATTATTTACAGGTGTTGAAATATTATATCAAAAAACTATCTTGTCCA